GTTTTGTTGCTTGCTCATCTGTGGAGACAACACTTCTCACCAGCTTGTCTAGGTATCCAGGGCCAGTCACTCAGCTACAGTGCAGCAGGGTGGGTCCAGCAAGGGTGGATTGGTAGGGATGGGTAGTTTGTGGCACAAACTGAGGCTGGCAAGGCGGGGCTGGGGGCAGTGCAGGGTGGGGCCTGGGGGACTGTGTTGGTGCCACTCAGGGCGTGGAACTCAGTGCACAGCCCAGATAGACAAGAGGGAAGGGAGAGGATGTGATGTGCGGAGCTAAGTGAGTGACAGGAAGAGAAAGAAAAGAGAGAAACAAATGCAAAAGAAAAAAAAGAAAAAAATAAAGAAACGAAGAAAAATTAAATAAAATGGCAATGCAGTAGAATTTGGCAGATGGAGGTGAGGTAGATCTCGTGAGGCCATGTACTGGTGGCTTTCTAGCTAAGCAGTGCAGCTGGCCTGTCGAGAAGGGGTGTGGGTGTTGCACAGGGCTAGGTGAGGGGGACAAATGATAGGAAGGAGGGGAAAGAGAGAGATCAACCAACCAATAAACAAACAAAAAATGAAATAAAAAATAAAACCAACAACAAAAATAAATAAATATGGTGGTGGGGGAGCTGGCCATTGGGGGTGGGGTGGAATTGCAGTGGCAGTGAGCTGATGTCTGTCTTGCTGGGTGGCACAGCACGGCCCTTCAAGAAGGGGCAGAGCCAGCTCAGGGCCTAGGTGTGAGGGAGAAGGGAAAGGGAGAAAGGGAAAGATAAAGAAAAATAAAAAATGTGGTGCTCAGGGAGCTGGCCTGTGGTGGCGGTGCAAACCCGGGGAAGACGTGTACCAGAGGCTCTCCAGCCAAGAGGTACAGCACGGCCCGCCAAGAAGGGGGAGTGGCGCACAGAGCTAGGTGGGTAGGAGAAAGGAAGGAAGGGAGAGATAGAGAAAGAAGAAACAACAGCATAAAAGAAAACAAAAACAAACAAAAAATAAGTAAATAAAGAAAATGGTGCTGAGGTAGCTGGTCGGTGATGCAGTGCAGACCCAGGGAGACCACAAGCAGTGACTCTTCAGCTGAGTGTTGCAGCACACCCCCACAAGAAGGGGGAGGGGCAGTGCACAGGGCTGAGTGGGCAGGAGAAGGAAAGGAGAGAGAAAAGAAACAGAAAAAAAGAACAACAACAAAATAACAAAAAAGAACAAAACAACAAACTAAAAAATCACAGCCTGTTAAGAAGGGGTTAGCTGGGTGGGAGAAAGGAAAGGAAGGGAGAGACAGAGAAGCAAAAAAAAAAAAAAACACAAAAACAAAAACAAACAATACCAAAAAACAAACAAAAAAATGGTGCTGAAGGGGCTGGCTGGTGGGGACAGGGTGGACCTGGCCCCAGCGGCAGTGAGCTGGTGTCTTTCTGGCTGAGCGACAGCAACAGTGGAAGCAGCAGAGGCCTCATACAGGGAAGAAGGGTGTGGGGTGGGAATGCATGTATCCCTGGTTACCGGGTGCTCTGTTGCTTGTTGGGAGCTCCGTGAAGTTGCCTTCCTGAATTCCCTGTCTGCATTCCTTGGTGGCTGTAGTCCAAGATGATGAATCCATGCCGCGTTAGCTGGTATGGGAAATTCACTCTGTAGCTCTCCTCATTCTCTGTTCTTTGTCAGTTTCTTATTCCATTCAGTGCTTGATCAAGTTCTTTATTCCTTTATTTGATGTTTAGGGTTCCAGGATTGACATTTATATCTGTTTTACTTAGTTTTTTGGGTTTTTGCTGCAGAAGGACTGTTTCTGTCTAAAGCGCCATGTTGGTGCTGCCTCTCTTGCTTGGACTTTTGTAGCAGTTTTCTAATTGGTGTCCTGGCTCCCCAATAATACCACTTCATCATGCTTTCCAAACTATCACTAAAATTATATTCATAAAATAAAATTTGATCTTGTCCCTTCCGTTATTTAAAGACCTCCGCTGCTCTCACTGCCACATAAGGCATGTAATCCTCTTCACAGTCTGATCCTCATCTACCTCCACTCCAACTACACTGAACTTTTCACCCTTCCATAAAGATGCCATGCCACATACAACTTTGTGTTTACAAAAATGGTTCTTGCTGTCTAGAATTCCCTTTCCTTTCCTTGCTTCTTTGCCTGAATAGTTATCACTCATCTCTACACTCCCAGCTCAAATGTTGTTGTTACTTTTTCTCTAAAGTATTTTATGTCTTCAGTACTCTGTTTATTTATAATTTTTAGCACAGTTAATTCTCTATTTATATGGTTTCCTTTCCCATTGGACTGTGAATTTTTTGAGTAGACATACCATGGAGCCCTGGTTTTGTGGTGGTTAAGAGCTCGGCCGCTAACCAAAAAGTCAGCAGTTCAAATCCACCAGCTGCTCCTTGGAAGCCCTATGGGGCAGTTCTAGTCTGTGCTATAGGGTCTGTATGAGTTGGAATTGACACAATGGCAATGAGTACAGGTAGCATCTCAATGCCAGCAAATTGCCTGACCTATAGGAAGTATAGAAAAAACAAAACAACCAAATCCACTGGCGTTGAGTCGATTTCAACTCATAGCCACCCTATAGGACAGACTAGAACCGCCCCATAGGGTTTCCAAAGCTGTAAATCTTTATAGAAGCAGACTGCTACATCTTTCTCTTGCGGAGCCCCTGGTGGATTTGAACCACCAACCTTTTTGGTTAGCAACCAAGCACTATAGGATATATAAATGAGTGAATGACATTAAAGTCAGTTGGAATAGCACCCTAGCCCCATCCATTTATTCACTCAGTAAACATATATTGAGGTTCAGATTAGAAATCCCTCAGGTACAATGTCATGTGGTAAGGACAGAGTGGCATAAGAATCCAGCAGAAGGGCATTTTAATGTAGAATACCTCCATACAACCTACACTCTGGTTACACTGAACAGACTACCTTTCCATAAACATGTTATGCTTTTACATTATTGAGTTTTGCACACACTATTCTTTGTATCTAAAATTCCAAACCCTTGTTTCTTTGCTTGGTCAATTCCCACTTGCCTCTAAAGACCCAGCTCAAATGCTACTGCCATTTGCTCTGTGAATCCTTTCTCAGAGCAGTTTGTGTAAGGGATCTTGTGAAAGGTAGGGTGGGATCAGAATTTTGAGGCACTTGAATACCAGGCATTACTCAGTAGGAAATCTGATATGCAGTGTGAAGCATGAGAGTGACACATGCCTCTTAGCAAGGAGACAGGAAGTAGTGTGCAAAGGCTTGATTGCATTTCTTTGTGTTTTTACCTATTTCATGGATATATTACCCATTTCCTGACCACAAGAACATTAAAGTATCCTTAGTTGTGTATACCCAATTACAGGGGGTGAAAAGGATTGAAATTTTGTTTTGCCATTAGCAGATAAAAACTCTTAAATATCAGTGTTGTATGTATGCTTAAGGAATTTCTAATATATTTTTAAAAAGACTCATGCATTTAATTTTAAAGAACAATTCAGGCAGCAAGACATTACTAATTATTTATACTATGAACATTTTCAAATGCAGCACTTACAGCCTGAAATTAGGAAAAATTGTTTTAAATGGAATGATCACATAAAAATTTGAGGATTAAATCAAGAACAAGGAAATTACTTGGAAGCAGGAGCTATATAGTTGATAGAGAGTAGGGTGTAAATGTCTTAATCTAAAATAGTGATAATCTGCTTAGAGGAGGTAGGATTTCTTAGCTACTGTGCAGTGATAATGGATTTTAATAAATAATTTCTTAGACACCAAAAGATTTCTTCAATTGCTGGCTTAAAACAAATCAAATACAATATTAAAAGACAAACTCCCAAATAAAGCAAAACTATTAACAAATTTAATAGACTTTCTAACTCTTTGGAGTACTAGGATATTTGGCACAAGGGAAGAAACATGATTCATGGGAATGGTGTCTGCATAAAAGGAACTACACAGTAAAACAGACAATTGGATCACCATGATCTACACTAACACACAAATGATTTAATGTAGTTTTAAGACTATACAGCATTGGGATTACCTTTTGATTTTGTAATGCTTTGTTTTTTGTTTTTGTCTGTGTTGTGGTTAGATCCCTCTGAAATGTATTAGAACACACAAGATTTCCTAACTGGTTCTTGGTAAAGCGACATACTATTTCGTGGTGTGTAAGAAAATAGCTCCAAGTTGAGAATGATGTGTTTATTGGAAGCAGGGTAGAGAAATTCTTCAAGATGTCTAATGAATGGTTCCTTTAAGACTCATGTCCTGAAACACACTGAGTAGTTCCACAATCACAGGATTCATAAAAATATTATTTTGTAGAAAACTAAGAGGATTCCTTGGCAAATCATGCTTTCTTTGGCACCAACTAACAAACTTACATTTATGGGCTAGTTAACAAAGATAACTGGAATACATATATATGTGTGCGTATGTGTGTGATTTTATATGCGTATATATTTATATATAAGACTACATATATAATAAATAACGTTTAAACTTCAAAGCATTATTTTTTATTATTTACATATATGTATACCTATACACACACACACATATATAAACCCATTGCCGTCGAGTCGATTCTGACTCATAGTGACCCTATAGGACAGAGTAGAACTGCCCCATAGGGTTTACAAGGAGCTGCTGGTGTATTTGAACTGCTGATCTTTTGTTTAGCAGCTGAGCTCTTAACCACTGTGCTACCAAGGCTCATATATATATATATATATATATTCACACGTACATATATATGTATATCACACCCCCCCATACACACATCTTATAACCATACTCTGCAGGAATAGCTATGAGAGGCATTAAATCAGAACATGTTTATCAATAAGCACATGTGGATTAACCAGTAAGCAAGGTATACACAGACTTTTAGTAAGCCCGTGCATACCTTGCTTATTGGGTAATCTGTCCCTGTCAGTAAGTGAGAAGCAGACTGAGAATGAGCAGGTACCCTTGGCCATGGGACACACTTATCCTTTCTATTGTGTTTATTTTACCTGGAGCCATTCCACTGGATCCATAGTAACTTATCGAGAGGCAGATTCCATTTTCCAAGGTGGCAGTAAAAGATCCAAACTTGCTTATAGCTTTTTTCTTGACATTTGATTCTTCTAAAAGAAAAAAAAATTTAGTCAAAAGAAAAGTAAGTAACCAAAACTCAGCATGAAGGCTGGGAATGGACATCTTAATTGTTCTATCTAACTTAAAAATAATCAGTTTAACCCTTACCATGCTCTCAGGGCTGTCAGAGGGAATATATATGACTCTTATTTTAAGTTAAAATGAAGAGAGGAAATAAACTGGCTGATGGCATAGCCATATGCAGGTTATTCATATGACGGATTATTTGTGTGAATTTTAAAATGAAAACCATCAATTCCATCTCAAGGTCACCATATTTTAAAATGCATTCGAAAATCTCCACACTGAAAATTCCTTACATTTTAAATCACATTTTAAAATGGTTTCAATCAAACATAATTTAAAAGCAAAATATGTTTAAGCATACGTTCTGAAGGCATATGTGAAGAATTTATGTATTTCCTGTTTTTTTTTTTTTTTTCAGTTCCATTCCCTCTATTATAATAGACAGTCAATATGGGGCAATACTAATTTACAATATTCTGATCCACAAAGAGATCATATCTAGATGGTAAAATACAAATGACCAATGGAACAAAAGATAATACTTAGTGTCGATCAGGGTGCAGGGAAATGTTATTGTTAGCTGCTGACAAGTCAACCCCCAACTCATGGCAACCTGATGCATTTTTGTTCCATGACAGGTTGTGGATTGAACCGTTGTGCTCCACAGGGTTTTCACTGGCTGATTTTTGAAAGTAGATCACCAGGACTTTCTTCCTAGTCTATCTTAGTCTGGAAGCTCTGCTGAAAGCTGTTCAGTATTATTGCAAGATGCAAACCACCACTGACAGACAGGTAGTGGCTGTATATTAGGTGCATTGTCTGGAAATCAACCTGGGTCTCACTCATGGAAGGCGAGAATTCTACCACTGAACCAACAATGTCCCTCTACAAGGAAATAGGCACCTTCATACACTATTAATAAGAGGGTATGTTGGTAGAAACTGGAGGGAAAGTACTTTGAAATAACCTATCTAAGAGGGGCCTAGTGGAGAGAGGAATATTAGTTAGAGAACAAACAATGAAAAAGTAGAACACATGCTCAGCAAAATAAAAGTTTTGGAAGGAAAAAGTTCAAGAAACACTTGTTTTTTTTTTTTTTAAAGCACATAAGTATATTTTTAAAAAGTCCTTTCTGAAATTTAAAAACGTGCTTTCCCAGTCAAATCACTCAGCAGATGAACTGAAGGGGAAGACGTTCACTTTTGATATTTAAAGGCGTTTCTTGGAAAATGGGGTGAAAAAAGTATCTCAAAACCCAGAGCAAACATTTAAACAGAAGGAAGTAGTGAAGACTATTTAAAGTCTTGGTGGACAAATTTATGTGAAAAATAGGTACTCCAGAAAAAAAAAAAAGAACAAATGAAAGAGAGCAACAACAATAATGATAACAGAAGAAAATTTCCCTGAGCTGAAGCTAGAGCTGAATTCTCAGATTAAAATTCCAAACTAGAGGGTAGAAGACACTGTCATAGCAACTGTGAGCCACAGAGAGAAAAGAACAACTCAGGGGTCCTATATCTAGTCAAGCTATCATCCACTCATTTACTTGTTGGCCAAAACAAGGATATTCAGAGAGATGCAACCGTCTGAGGAGAAAACATAATAAAACTAAAAAACAATAAATAAAAAACTACAGAAATCTTTATAAAATTGGAAAGAAGAAAGTAAGCAGTGGTGGGCAATGAACATTGCTCCCTATCTCTCCATCTCTCTTCCTGTCTGCCCTTCCGTCCATTTGTATATTCATCTAGATCAGGGTGGGCAAATTTTTTCTGTAAAGGGCCAGACAGTTATTATTTGAGGCTTTGTAGAACACGTATGGTGTCTGTTACATATTTTTCCTTGCTTTTTTTTTTTTAAACAACTTTTTACAAATGTAAAAACTATTCTTAGTTCACACCCATACAAAAACAGACTTTAGGCCAAATTTGGCCAGTAGCCCATAGTTCGCTGACTCCTGAGGTAATTGAAGCAATATGCAAAAAAGAAGATTATTAAATAAATTATGGTATATATATTTACATACATACATAAATATATATTCATATATAGATACATATTTTTATTTATTTAGGTGAAAATCACCTAAATATGTAAAAGCATGAAAATAATTAAATAAATTATGATAAACATATATACCAATGAAATATTATGATGCCATACTATTTGAAAAGCTTGTTTTCAAAGAATAACAAGTAGAAAAATGCTCATGATGATAAAGTAAAAGAAAAATACACTAATTATAACCATAGCTATTACTGAGGTGACAGAATTATGGGCAGCTGTTACCTTCTTTAACTATTTCTACATTTTCTAATTTTTTATAATAGTCTGTATACTTCACTACCAGGTAAAACAAAGTAATTAAAGTTTTCTGTTGCAAAGTTCTTGAGTACATTCATACTTGTCAGACATGGTGTTTTTATCTTGGTTTTGAGAAATACTGTCACTGTTACAAAACTTGGGTGATTTAGTTATTGATCTTATCACTAATGTTGAGTCCAAAAAGCTTTATTAATTAAGTAATCTATTTCTGCGGGTATAACCCACAACACTTTGGGCAGAAAGCAACTAATTTATCCAGGTGGTGTTGCCTGAGGATGTTAAATGGTGCTACCAGGAAGTGTCACGGTGTTTATCAGTGGAGGACTCATTCGCAGCTCACCTTTGAGCAGGTAGATACTCTCATTTTCCCTTGTCTTTGCAACCTAAGAAATATGGTGCTACAGAGAGAACTAAGTAATAAAGAGAGGAAAGAAAGAAATCCCACGATTTGCAAAGAATACTGGGGTAAAGCTAAAACTTCAGTGTTACTATTGTTAGGAGCCATCGAGTCAGTTCCGACTCATAGCGACCCTATGTACAACAGAATGAAACACTGCCAGGTCCTGCGCCATCCTCACAATTGTTGTTATGCTTGAGGCCATTATTGCAGCCACTGTGACAATCCATCTCATTGAGGATCTTCCTCTTTTTCACTGACACTCTATTTTATCAAGCATTATGTCTTTCTACAGGGATTGGTCCCTCCTGATAACATGTTCAAAGCACATGAGACGAAGTCTTTCCATGCTCAGTAATGAAGTCACTCCTGAGGTTCACCCTTCATCCAAAGATTGTTGTTGTTGTTATTAGGTGCCATCGAGTCAGTTTCAACTCATAGCGACTCTATGTACAACAGAACGAAACACTGCCCGGTCCTGCGCCATCCTCACGATCGTTGTTGTGCTTGAGCCCATTGTTGCAGCCACTGTGTCAATCCATCTGGTTGAGGGTCTTCCTTTTTTTCGCTGACCCTGTACTTTATCAAAACCTTCAGTAGGAATCAATTAACGGGGACCTGAGTCCTAGAGGGAGTCCCTAGGTGTTGCAAACAGCTGCTACCAAAAGGCTGGAGGTTCGAATCCACCCAGGGGCATCTTGGAAGAAAGACCTACTTCCAAAAAACCAGCCATTGAAAACGCTATGGAGTACAGTTCTACTCTGACACACGTGGGGTTGCCATGAGTTGAAATCTACTTGACGTCAACTGGTTTGGAGTTCTACAGACTGAACTTGGTACAAATGTTAAACCCAAATTAAGGCCAAAATGCACACTGCAAACTCAATATTGCCACACACAAGGTTGGGAAGACTCTGTATGACGACTGGAATCAAGAGCTAGGTGCGCTACAGGGGCAAAACCAAGTGAGCAGCCCACTATAGATTAGGCCACACTACACACTACATCAGGGAAGATGCATGTAAGCAGAATAGCACAACACCTCGGTTACCATCTAGAAAACTCCCATGTGCTAAGTGCAAAGGACCCATCTGTGCTTCTGCCAAGTGGATGGATTTGCTGGCACAGTAGTAAAGTATTACCCTCCACAGGTCAAGATGTAGCTGCTTACCTGTTTCAGGCCTTGGCTCCTCATTTTTTAATTCTTTCTCTTCTTCTGAAGAATGATCCTCTTTTTTATTTACCTTTTTCACAATTGTTTCAGGGTCTTTTAAGTGAATCATAAAACTGTGCTTGTCCTTTTTCACTTTCACTTTGATAAAAGTTGGGCCTAAGGAATGATCATGGGATAGAAGACAGGCTGAACGTGATGCCACACGAAGCTGCCTGACAAGAGGTTAGTGCAGCAAAGAATTTAAACCAGGTAGTGGACATACCTAGGAGTATCAACACCTTTATAAAATGATGTCTAAAGGACTAAAGGGTGGTGGAATTCCAGGAATAAAGGGTAGATGGATCAGGGAGCTATTTGCAAGTCTTTTAGTCACAGCTCAATTAGAATCACATAAGCCAATCGATTACAAGAGGAAATAAATCGGCTGAGGCTAAGATACACCGATAATCAAATTTGTGACTAATTAAATGAGATAATTAATGTGAATGGGTTTTGCAACTTACAAAGAATTACATAAATGCTAGTTATAGTAGTTATTATTGTTAGCAGGTACAGACAAGAATTTTCCTAACATCACATACTCTCTTTTAGTATTCCGACTCATTTTTCCTTTTTAATCTTTTTTCTTTTTTATACAGTATTCTTTCCAACTTTGACTGAGCTATCATCTCTCAAAACTGACAATATTGTTAGGATGACAAAACTCTATTTACTATGAACCATCTGAAACTTATACATGTTGCACGCACATGCAAATCTTTGTAAGAGTGAGGAATAATTATTTAAAATAGACTATAGCATTAAAAAAAAACTTGAGTCCAGTGCTCTTCTCAGTTATGTGAGCTCTATCTTTAGTTGCCACTAATTGTACACTATTCTCAAGGGTGATATTAAAAACATTAAACAATAGTAAAGCATGTGGTAATATAAATAAATATATACTGATGTATAAATTAAAAAAAATTATGTTTTAAATAAACAAAATGAAACTTTTTGGCAATCGTTATACAACAAGTATTTTTTAAAATCATTTTAATAATTTCTAAAATTTTTTTTTTTACTTTAAAAATCATTGGTGTGATTTTTTTGTTTGATGTGATCATTAAAATTTAATGATGCTCCTGAGCCATGGTTCCATAGGGAACAGCATCTAACTCTTGCAATGATTTCCTATTAAATTGATAGTCATGAGGGAACTACAAAAAAATAAAAGAAGGAAAGAGAGAAAGGGAAGGAGAGAAGGAGGGAAAGAGGGAGGAATAAAGCAGAAAAGAAGGAAGGAAGAAGGGAAATAAAGTAGGAAAGCAAGCACAACATGGTTTGTACAACTGGGTGAGTGCTTGCGAGCCCTCTGAGTTTTGGTGTGCCCCAGCAAGTGAGGGAGCAGAGGGAGACGGCAGGGGTGGGCTGTGTCATAGGAGGAGGGAAGGAAAGGGGAGCCATGTGCTAACATTGACCCTTGTTGGGGTGCATCGTCTTCTGACAAACAGGATCTTAATCACATTCCCTCACACTGACTTCTTCACGCTCTCAGAGACCACTGTCCCCCATCAGATGATAAGTTGTCAAATAAAGCATAGCTCTCCAAAACCACCTGAGGGGTCCTTAAGGCACAATGAAAAGCTATGCTTGCAGTATGCCCCTAACAGCTTCCCTAGAGCCCAGGTCCTGCTCTTCCCTTGGGAAGAATTAAGCATTTCCTCTCAGGGTTTTACAGACTAGTTCCTTCTCAGCTCTCCTGCCAAACACCCTTCCCACTTAAAGACTTCTTAATCCAAAGGCAATTTCTCGATAGTTGAAATAATCAGATCTCTGCAGCAGGCCCCGAGCTCTGTGCCCCAGAGTCCAAGCCGAACAAACTCATAGCGTGCCCTGGGTTTCTGAGATAACAGGATGTGTTGTGATTAATATTATTAATTAATTACTGACTGTGCTCATTGCAGTAACTGTTATATTATTTATCAATAGTATGGAAATATTTTAATATTTTAACATTGGGTATTGTTATATTAGTGTGTCCAAGCTAAACTCTCAGCTGACCAATGGCTTGTAGAGTCCATTATGATACAAGAATTTAAAGTCTGAAAATGTGGGATATGACACATAAATGAATTGCAGTGGGCACATCACCATTCTCACCCATCATACTCAGGAAGAGCTTTTAAGGTGCCACATGGTCTGAAATGGGGTAACACCTTTCAAGCCAATAACCAGCTGCTTTTAAAATGCACCTTTTTCAAATGATGTCTTTTCCACTTCAATCTGTCCTCCATCCGAAGGATACAGATAGTAATTTGTCCCTGAGATTTGGATGGGTACATCTCCCATATTGTATCCTCGAAACTAGAAAAGAAAACATTATGCTTTGAGTGAGGAACTGCAACTGACAAAAATCAACTCACCAGTATTGGCCAATTAAAGTCACCATAAGCTTAATTTGTGCTAATTTTTCTGTCACTCTGTAGACCCATGACTCATGGGTCTTTGTAGACCCATGAGGCCTTCTTCTTATTTTTAGCCCCGTCTGTGGTGTTACAATGAGATGCACAACTAAAGGAGGTCCAAGACGTTAAACTCTGTTCACTGGGGCATCCTCATAACCCAGTCTAAATCAAATCATCCTAATATTGCCAAGGCAGTGTGAGTAGAAATTTGTTTAATTGGCTGTTAATCTTCTGTTTAAAGTGAACTGTTATTGTGAGGTGTAGTGACATGACACTTTAGAAGGTCATGTGTTAAAGATGTGTTAAAGGATTTTTTTTTTTTTACTGAAGTGTTGTTAATGGAGCTTATTTTATTAATTCTTAATTTTTAGGGAAAATAGGAAAAGTGGAGGCACTTGGGTGATAAGATATGGAACTACTTCTGAGAGGCAGAGAAGAACAAGGGAGCTTAGGGCAGTGGCTTTCCTAGCGTGGTTTCACCTGGGAACTTGTTAGAAGTGCAAATTCTCCAGCCCTAGCTCAGACCTACAAAGCAGAAATTCTTGGAGTTGGGCAAAGCAATTTGCGTTTTAAAAGATGTCCTGGTGATTCTGGACTATATGAAGAAGAACAGGGCATCAGGATTGGAGGAAGACTCATTAACAACCTGGGTTATGCAGATGACACAACCTTGCTTGCCGAAAGTGAAGAGGACTTGATGCACTTACTGATGAAGATCACAGACCACAGCCTTCAGTATGGATTATGCCTGAACATAAAACAAAAGTCCTCAGG